TCATTTAATACTCCTTTTACGTGCATTTTATAGCAAATATTTTTCAATGTTATAAAAAATGGAATAAATATCAAAATATAACAAATTTCAAAAAGGTTTAATTGAAAGACCTCTCAGACCTCTCTCTCTCTCTCTCTCTTACAAACTTTTATTTGAATGTAATTTAGAGAAAGTTTGAAAAGTTTAGTCGACTTCAGGGAACTTCAAATTAGTTTTTGTTATTTTGAATTTTGTTGTCATACTTTTCGGAATCCTTTAATCTTTAGCCAAAGTCTGTATTTCATGACTTGCCCTCACATTCACTGCACATTCACTGTATTATAGAGTGGTTTACAATATTTTAGAGGACGAATACAAGACTGCACTGAATATTTGAATTTATTTATAATGTAGAGTACAGTATGATCTCAAACACCACATGAATATGTAAATTGAGTACATTTTAATATATATTAAAATTTTTATTTGTTTTTTACACAAACTATTATTATAACTAGAGTCTATCAATATATACAATGTAATTATGTTAGATAATATTTACTCAAATATTTATTTATAATTTTTAAATAAAAAATGTAAAGAATTAATAAATTTGATGAGTATTGTAAAGAATAATTGTTGTTTATTTAATATTATAGTAAGCAAAATAGATTAATGTTATTAAAGATTATTAAAGTCTGTTTATACAGTGCTCGTCTTTGACGGTCTTTGTTGGGAGGTATAGTTAGCATAGTTTCGCCCATAAATATAAGCTAAAACATGCGCTGAATTGTGTTGTTTTAAGTTTGACTGTCACAATGCAATGCATAAAAGCGCGAATCTTACTTATGTGCCTGGTCCATTTACACAAGACGCTGGTTGCACACCGCTGTAGATTACAAAATGATCCTAACTATATAATTCGTGTGCATTATAATATAGAGTAATCGACAAATATAAAGGGTTTTTTACAAAGGATTTAATACAATATTTATTTAAAAATTTATATGATCTCTAATTATATCTATTTAAACTATTTTTAAAGCATTATGTAACAGTTTTAATATATTTTAGTACAATGTTTTGTAAAATTACAAATAATTTGTATTATACAGTCTGCTCTCGATTTAGGGGAACTCGATATAAGGGAGATTTTTTGCTGGTCTTATGTGTGGTGTAAATGTCAACCTTGATAAATGTTACCTTGTATATTAAGGAAATTTGATTTAATGGACAAAATGACGCGCAAATGATTCCCTTATATCGAGGTCAGACTGAACTATTATTTACGTCTACATCTAAACCTTTCGTATTATGTTTAAAATGAGACATTGATTTATTTTTCACCATTATAAATTATATCACAAACTTTACATTTTTACCCCAACTTTGCAACAATGAAACGTTAAGATTGTCTAACTTTAGACTTCAATTAAGATAGAAATGTAAATGTTTTTAGTTTTTGTCTGTAAAACCAATTCTTGTAATAATCCTTAAGATTTGATAGAAATTCTAATATAATCTTTAATAACATTAAGAAACTCTTCGGTCTTTGTGTTAAATGAAATGAATTCACGTGTTTTTTCTTGAAAGCAATTCAGGTTTGTGTCTATCATTCTATGGCTTTTTACAGAATTTCCTGTCGTCTAGACATTGAAATACGTAAAAAACAGTCAATTTGTTGGACACACACTCAAAATAGGATAATCTGAACCAACTTTCCAACTATACATTTGTAGTAATCTTCAATTGGACTCAAACTCCTGCAAAAACGTCATCGCTTTGGGAAGCAATCCATTGCCAACTACTGGTTCACTCAAACAGCCACCTCTTCCCAGACATTCAGACCATTATTCGTGTGTTTTCTCTCATCGTATATACGCTCACACTTTTCCACTTCAAAAGAGTTGTAACTCTGTGTTGGAAAGTCACTAAAAGATGTTGTTCTCTATACTGTCGGTGTGTTTTGTGTTAAACCTATGGACTGGAATCAATTGTGATCAAGATCGTTTCACGCAAATCGCATCAAATATGTTGCAATTCTCGAATATTACTTATTTGAATGCAAATAATATCACTTATGAAGACTTTGGTCCGCTTTCTAACACCAGTTTAGCGGATCTCCAGAACGACAACAATACACAACAACTTCAGATTCGCTTCAGAGAGAGGTCTGAGAGGTCTTTCAATTAAACCTTTTTGAAATTTGTTATATTTTGATATTTATTCCATTTTTTATAACATTGAAAAATATTTGCTATAAAATGCACGTAAAAGGAGTATTAAATGAATGCTTTTATAGGTTATGAACGGAATTCAATTTTAATGCAATGTTTTGACTGAAAGCCACAGACAGTCGTATTAGTTGTGAACGATTAGAGAGTCGGCCGTCGCGCCAACTTTTTTTGCTCTCTTTAATGTTAGATATAATGTTTGGAAACAAGAAATAAAATTTCTAAATGATATGTCGGACGTTAAGATACGATACGTTTGGCGTTACTCTCCATTCATTCTTACGACAAACTATTTTTCAACAATTTTTTATTTATTTAAAATGATTTTTACATTTATTTAATTCTATAAATCAAAACTAGTAATTGATATACAGTAACTAGTTAAAAGTAATATTTGTGTCAAAAAACATTGAATTTTGGCGTCAAAACAATAATTTTTATCACGAATAGTGTTGATATGTTGCAGATCTGGGTTCACAACTCTTTATGACAGAAATGATTTAATTGTTTTTCACTTCTACTGAATAAACAATCAAATGAAAGCAATAATATAAATGATAGCTTTAAAAGTATAGATAAAGTTAGAGTTGTATTATATTTCCAGAGCTAACGCTAAGTGAATGGCTTGACTCGAAAGCTGCTTCACTGTAATACAGTTTTATTAGACGGCAAAGTTTGCACAGAAAATATAAAGTCATCTCTTTTTTGGTCCTTTTTTAGAAAACGTCAGGAAAGACTGCTTTCAATTCAGTCACAGATCCTTCAAAGACTGGGAATCAGTGGTCGTAATCCCAACGCAACAAATGCCGGCTCTTTGAGCGAAGAGGAGAAGGATCTGATGAATCGAGTGGTTCGGGTGTCTGTGCCGACCACACGAACCCGTCTCGAGACAGTGACCGGAG